ATCTTTCTCGTGTAAAAAACCTAAAATAACTAAGCAATAACTAACCGTGTTGAGAACAGTGGCGAAACAAGACAAAAAACTCTAATATTCATCATTCATCTGAACGGAGCTAAAAGAACGAACATGGGAATACCATTCAACACAATTATTCGCGAGAATTACACTTAGATCAATTCTACAATCTAGAGGAGACAGCGTGGATTCACTGCGTCGGAGTCGTAATCTGGCGGTCCCGGCTTCGAGTCCCGTTCTGGCCACTTGCTGGATTTGTTCTCGGTCGTCCTGAGTTCAAATCCTCGGCCACGCTTGAAAATAGCCAACTAGTTGCCTCCTGCCAGTTAGGGGTTTTAATCCTATTCTATTGTCTTTGAATTATTTGATTCTAAGTATTTGAGTGGAGCGCCTGCAAACTAGCTGCATAAGCTACGTGCACTTTCCCCCGTAAAAAAGCTTTTAAACCTTTTATAACTGTTTTTATAACCTTACCCAGAACGGTTACTTCAATCGTTTTTGAGTCACTTCCTTCCTCATTATCTGCATGAATGGTGAACTCGTAGTTGCCCGTACGATGTATTTGGAATCCTTTCAAAAAGGTCCTGCCCTCCAATTGTGTTGTAGAATTCACTATTGTCGAGTTAATTGGGGGGGTACCTTCCAGCCAGAACCAGATATAGTGTCCTGGAGCAGATCTTACCGGCGTTAGTAACGGTAGCCTTATCCTTGGCTTTTCTGAAATGAACAGTCATAACAAGTGTCTGAGCTGTCACGACTTCAGGTCAAATTGACAGGTTGCAAGTTAAATAACAGTTGCATAATTCCCCTCGTCGAACACCACGCTAAATAATATTTAAGAGCTTCACATGAAGCTAATAAGACGTAAGAGATCCGTTGGAGAAAAGTCCCGGTAACTTAGATGTACAACTCAATTGGAAATGGTCTAGTCCAGCAAGAAGTTAAACACACCTCGCGTGAAAATTTTCCATTTATAACTGCTTCTTGCAACGTTTTTGTTTCTGTTTCATAGTTTCCTCTTTTGTTTATAGTTTTTTAGCTCTGGTTTGGTCATAAACACAAGAATACATGGAATATTAGGTTCATTTACTATCTTTGGGCATGCACNGAAGTTAAACACACCTCGCGTGAAAATTTTCCATTTATAACTGCTTCTTGCAACGTTTTTGTTTCTGTTTCATAGTTTCCTCTTTTGTTTATAGTTTTTTAGCTCTGGTTTGGTCATAAACACAAGAATACATGGAATATTAGGTTCATTTACTATCTTTGGGCATGCACATACACGTGGGATTAACTACGCAACAGAACATTCTACTAGTATCAGATTGTTGTTTATCACATGTAACTTTTCGTCAGTCGTTTTGTTAGTGACTACTGGACTGCTTTCCCACTCACCCACCCTGGGTCGTTCTGCATGAGGGTGACAAGGAGGTGTATTATTTTTATCGATTAGACTGTCCGGTTTTTCTTGATGGGGAATTAACCAACCTGCTGGTAGGTATTAAACTAGTTCACATTCTGTTATTTGACTTATTATCGCTAACCTTTATTTGAACTTATATTATAAGCTCCCATAAAGTTGCAAAGGGTTGATGGCTCGTCCTTTTTCAAAATCAACATCATAAATCGACCACTTGTTTGTATGGTGAAGGGTTGTCTTGTTCCAGAGAAACGTGCCAGTACGGTATCATTTTTGCTTTTTCCGTCATGGATCTGTATCTTTGCTTGATTAACAGACAGATGAAATATAGTAAATTTTAGTTTGACGGTGTGGTTCGTCGGTGCTGTGATGTTCCACGTACAAGTGGCGTAGTTCTTTGCTTCATTGGCGTTAATGGACCCAGCAGAGCCGTTAACACTAAAGAAACATGCTGCAGAGTTGACAACTGCAAAGTAAAAGAGCGAAAATGAAAATGTCAAATTATTCACAATTTTACTCACCTCACAGGCTATCTAGTAATGCTAAAGGGCCCTTTGACTTTTCGAATACAGGCTAGTAGTATGACTCAAGCATAATGATCGATCGCGAGAGATGACTTGTACATTAGAAATTTTAATTTTGCATACCTGCTGCTTTGTTACTAGATAAGGAATCATAATTTTACTTGCCTTTTATTGTCCACACTGCCAAAAAAATAACTCCAAACAGAGTTTTTCCTTGCAATGACATCTGAAAAAACAAACAAATTAAAGTAATTAAAAATATAGTCTCCAATTGTTCTCGGTGCAACATTGATGTTAACTGTCTCGCAACAATGTACTTGTTAGTCGCCCATTAACGTACTGCTTCTTTTAGGGATCATCATGACCCCTGAAAATTACTCACTGATGTAATACCCCATTGCGGTGGGAATAACTGATTCTCTTGAAAGCTTATCGATAGCGGCTTCGATTGTGATAGGTAATTAGGGGGCGAGCAAGGGACGCACTAGAAAAGTGACGAGAGTTGGAACCACTGCAAAAAACTATCCCCCGAGTGTGAATATAATTTCTTCTGTCAGTAGTTGTAAAACTTGATGTTGTTTTTTGGATTGAAATAATCTGGGAACAGTTTCCAAACGAAAATGACGAGTAAGTTATGTATGAGTTGTTCAAGAACAAATACGCGAGTCTTCTGTCGCACTGTGGCCTCTGATGATCGGAAGCACCCTCATAAGAGGTTGACTCTGCTGTCTTCTTCAGATGCTACCCATTTCTTCTATAGACTGTGCCATTTTTAGTCTCTACAGTGTACGATCGCTAGTCCAACCTTGCTATTACCTGGGCCTTCGGCCACTATTTAGCACTAAACTTGAAAGGCTTCATTCGCACCACATCACCTTTACTCAGTGCTGGCAGCTCTTCTGCGTTTCTGTTCTAATATTTCGCTTGGACCCGCTGGCGCTCCTCCTCTTGGCTCTTTTCAATGCCAAGCGGGGTTGTTTCTGGCATTAGGCGGTTTGGCGTAGTAGGTAAGAGCGTTTTGGTCCTCCTGCCAATCAGCCACTGTGCAGGACTTGTAGTTATCACTTGTTGTTCCTATAATAAAGGAAAGCGAGGTATTGATCTGTCCCAGCCATGATAGACTTCGCAAGAAATGCTTGGCTGTCGTTACTTCAGATTCCGCCTTGCCATTGGATAGGTTGGATAGGTTGTTAAAATCACAGGTCTTCGTGAATATCGCAAACTCCTTCAAGGTGAACTGAGGGCCAATACCGCTCACAGCTTGGTGAGATATTTCATTCTTGGTGAAGTGACCTTTCAGTTTCAGTATCACCGTGCTTGCTTTAGTGTCCGGTAGCTGGTCTACCGCTTTAAAGTTGCTGTAGTAGTCGATGATAATCAAATATACTTCGCCATATTGGGAAAAGATATCAGTGTCGACCTTTTTCCCGGCGACGAGACCGAACCTCGTGGTTCATTAAAGGCTGCATCAAGCCCTCTAAACATTTCGCACGTCAAGATGTATTGCATGATTTCAGCCGACATTTCGGGCCAGTAGCTGCATTCACGGGCTCTTCCTAGACATGACTCTGTTTCTAGGTGAGAGGAATGAATCCTTACTTTCATGACTCTTAGGCATTACACAGCATAGGCTTTAAAAAGTAATCCATCTTGAAGCGTCAACGCACCTCGTATATCAAAGTATGGGTGAGAGTTCAGGGGCAAATATCTTTTCTTCTGGCCAGCATTTGAGAATTATTTCAGATCAGCTTCATAAAGATTGATCTTTCTGAGTTTCAGACCGTATTACATTGATGCGCTCATTAGAAATGAAAAATTGATTGACTATGTGCACGAACTCAGGGTCATCTCTGTCATCTCCTTTAAATTGAAGGGAAGCTCGCGACATGTCCTGGAGGACAGTGAAGTCATACTTCTGTCTCAACATCGTAGACTGCACTCGCCATGGTGAAAGTGAGAGAGACTTCTAAAGAATTACTTCTAAAACACCGACTTGGCGACCAAAATTAATGTATACTGGTTAAAACGTTGAAGCGAAAAACGATAGTGAGCATCTCTTTTTTTTTGCGCCAATCCCTACTCTGTCTCTGTTAACGATCAGCTTGCAAACTCAATGAGTCGGCCGTTCTGTAACAAAGCTGCACCCAATCCACTTTGGCTCGCATCACACATGGTAAACTCGCTGCTAGGATCATAGTAGCTTAGTAATGAGGCCTCCCTGACCATGTGTGGTATCTTCCGGAACGCGCTGTCCCGCTCATCGGACCAGTGCCATGGTGTGTCTTTTCTTGTCAGGCGGCGAAAAGGCTCCATGATTGCCGAAAATTTGGGAAGGAACCTAAGTAGTATACTGGTTAGTAAAATGTGGAGAATTTTGCTGCGCAACAAACTCTCCGCATTTTACTAGCCAGTATACTACATGTGTGGATAACGTCCACTCAAACTACCGCAAAAAACCGCGGCCTCTCGGCGAATGGCTCTTCGCACGGCCGCGGGGCAAGCCAGGCGTGAGCAGCCTATTAAATATTGGCACACACTTTGCATAATGGCTGCACAGACCCAGCTCATCGATCTGGACATTGATCCGGACGAAGATGCAGAATGATCTCTCCAAAAAATGGTACAAACTATTTTGCATGAATCGATCGCCGTGGAAACAAAGAGCAGGCTTTTGAGTCGGCTTGTTGCCACGGAGCATCAGCCAAAGCGTCCCATGAGAACCCCAGAAATTAGGAACACTAAAACCACCAGGGGTTTGGAAAAATTACGTCTCCTTCATTCGATGCATTATGAGCACCCAGAGTTTACGGCGCAAAACGTCTTTGATGATTACGGGCGCGGAAAAATGTGGACGGCACACCCAATTTTTGGGCACACTTTTTTTGGCAGCGAGAGGGCAGTGCATTGGCAGATTTTTTTACAGGGAGAGGTGTTCCCAAAGCAAGAGTGTGCCTTATTAGACATTTGCGAAAATATAATATATATGTGATACACACAGTGAAGTTTTGGCATACGGTGAAGTTTGGCACAAATCGGACTGCGCAATGGAAAAAAATTTGGCCAAGCACGTTCTGGCAAAGAATAGTTGGGAGAGCAACCTCGTGGCCGACATTTCGAAAGTCGACCATCTCGAAGGGGACAAGGGCAGGGGACTGTTTCTCAAAAGTCCCGATAATTTACGGTCCCGTAAAGCTGTTGTTGTTTACATGCAAGATAGAGGTTTCTATAGTTTTGCATCTAACATAATAAAACGATAAGTTAATGAAAAAAAAAAACTGAGTTGTTTGCAAGCCAGGACGCGCGCTCTTATTCTTTATATTTCGATTTCAATATTTGATTCTGGGTCCGAAAAGTTACCGGGAATTTCGAGAAACGGGCCCCGGGACACAACTGCGACTCTTGGAAGGGCTCCCAATCTTCTCCGACCACTTTTACGTCTACGGCCATCTTCCAAAAGAAGAGGTTGTGTCGGTAGGAAATCGCTTGCATTGCAGCTCGGGTGAAAACGGCGTCACAAAACGAATAGTGTCACGCATTTCCAACCTTGTGCGAGAAACACTTGGAAGCACCTACAAAAACACTTAGCAGTTGTACCCCATTCCAGCAAATACTCCGGGCGGTCGAATCATTGACACTATATCGACTATCGAAACCGAAACAAACCGCAAAGCAAAAAAACAATTGCAGACCCTGTTCCCAGAAATAGCGCTTTTCTACTATTTTGTTGCGAAGGTCCATATCGCAGAGGTGGAGATGGAAAATCTGCAACAGGCTCTTCCAACACTGGAAAGTTTGCTGGAGGACAGGGGCGACGCCATCTTCCAAATAGATTTCGCCCAAGATTTTTTCGGGCGCGCTCGACCGAAAAGCGCGTGTCAAGCATTTGCGCAACTCGACAGATTTTGCTTTCCAGGATTTTGGGTTCCCAGAAGCGAGAGGCACTATTCTGGACAACACAGGGAGCGTTGGTGAGCACGTTTGCACTTGGATACAGACGACTAACAGCGGGTGTACGACAAGGACAAAGCTATACAACAAAATAGTCTCGCAGTTCGAAGCGGGAGAAGTCCAGACCCATTTTGAGGCCATCTCGCCGACTACGTCTGTTCTACGGAGAAACACCTTTGCACACCTGAAAGCACAAACAAAGGTTGTACTCGAATAGAGGTGTCTCTGCACGCTTATCAAGGGGGAGGCTTTCCGAAGAAACAGCGAAAGAGTTGGTATAAGACGCCTTGGAAGAGGTGTCTCAAGAGGGAGAGGAAGAGTTTGTGGTACAGCCGGCGAAAAGGCAATGGGAGAACCTTGGACCCCTGTTTCCTTCTCGCAGATAGACCGCAGAGAGAGATCCACATGACTTGGGGATTGCACACCACCACGGAGAGAGTGCAGGGGATAGACACCACACCAACAAGAGATAGAGTGGACAACGACGCAACTTGGAAAAGAGCAATAGAGTGAATGGCTGCAGACTTTGGCTTCCGGCGTTGCCCAATTTTTAGGACAAAGATCTTGGCCATGCAGGGAGAGGAAGTCGTTTTCTCCAAATTCTGGTGCTGGACAAAAGACGCCCCGCACAATCCTGGCAGCAAGCCGAAGGCCGTGCCGGAAACACCCCGTTGCCCCAGACCCTGCAGAGTTAATTCAACCGACAGAGCGCATCGAGTGGATGTGGCGAAAAAAGCAAACAAGCCCCGTAGGAGTAGAAAACCCATCGCGCAAGCTGGTGGAGATGGCAGAAACAGCAGCGCAGCGTGAGCTCTCCACAATCTCGACAAGGCTTCGTGCGTGGTGATTCGAGACGCTTCTGGATGCCGAGCATAGAGTGTCCTAGGAAGAAAGAAGTGAAACAGCCCACCAAGGAGCATTGGACAAAGGACGAGAGGCGCCGCATAGAGATCGAGGAAATGGGCAAACTAGTGGAAATGCATAGGCGCTATCACATAGAAAAAGAAGAAACACGCTCTGCCGTCGAAAAAGTCCCTTCCAGCAGAGAAACCGCTTAAATCTCGCAATACCCAGAAAGCAGCTGGGACATTCTCGAATACAGGCGGCGAGAAGGTGGTGCTGGAAAGGGAGGGAAACCACAGATGTCTTTGGGGGACAAAAGGGCTGCAACATATCCTGGAAAACCAAGGCCACTCTTTCGAAAAGGAATACACCCACAACGGACTCCCAATGATTTGGATCCAACAAAAAAGGCCAAACTGCGAATCCAAATCGTGGCAAAGAAATCTTTCCACAACGGCGACGGCGAAAAAATCGAATGGAACCCAATCTTTCTGGTGCAAATGCCAAACCCAACCCAGGCGCAAAAGCTGTTCGAAATACTATAGCAGCTGGAGAAAGAGGAAGAACTTCTGAAGCAGAAAAAAAGAAGAAGAAGATGACAGGTACAAGCTTCGCCGGCGGGAGGGGATGCCTTCGCAAAAGAAATGAAAAAGGCCTTCGAAATGGAATGAGGCGAATATTTGGCAACAAGCGACGAAGAAACGGAAAACGGTTTTCTTTCTTCTCCTACTTGGAGATAACGGGGAGCCCACTACAGGCGCCGAAGTACCAGTATGGGGCTATTACGTGGTAGAGGAGGCGAAAAAAATGCAATTTTTTAAAGACGATGGATGTTTGTTTTCCCTGCTGGGAAGAGAGAAAAGAACCCCATCAAGAAAACAGGAAAGGGTTACGCACTTTTTTGTAGAGCACGGGAACAGCAGTTCCGCTGCAAATGTCACCGCAGAGGCCTCCGTAGAGGTCCCCGTAGGGGTCCTTGTAGAGATACAGGAGTGGAACTATGCCCGTCAGTCATTCTCCAGGGATACCACAACATCGCCGCCGACAGCAACAGCAACTAGCGGCCCAAACGTCCAATTTTGCTATTCCAGAGCTTTTTGTGCAGGAACCTTGGCAAGAATAGCAGGGCCGGGGACGTCTTCCTTTGGGGCAATCTGTAGGGGGTCCCAGTCGGGACACCAATTTTTTTCGTGCCTCGCAAGCTCTTGGCGAAAGCTATGGTATTCGTAGTACGGCACATCTCTCGACACCATCAAAGGGCAGAAAGAAAGTGCTTTTCGCCATGGAATAGTCCTCTTGGACACAAGTGCCCCTTCTTGTATAGATGCCTCTGCAGACACTTTTTCGAAGAGGTGTGCCGTACTACGAATACCCTAGCTTTCGCCAAGAGCTTGCGAAGCACGTGTGCCGACTAAGATGCCCTGCAGATTAACGCAAAGGAAAACTTCCCCAACCCTGCCATTCTTGCAAGGGTCCCTGCACAAAAAGCTCTGGAATAGGAAAACTAGACGTTTGAGCCGCTTGTTGCTGTTGCCGTCTGTGGCGATGTTGTGCTATGCCTTGAGAACGGCTGGTGGGCATAGTTCCACCCCTATATCTCTACGAGGTCCCCTGCGGGGGCCTCTACGGGGACATCTGCACAAGCCTGTCCTGTTTTCTCGAAGGGGTTCTTTTCTCCCTCCCCAGGCGGCAAAACAACCATCCATCGACTTTGGAAAGTTGCATTTTTTTCGCCTCCTCTTGCCGAAATAGCCCCATAATGGTACTTCAGCGTCTGTAATTGGCTCCTCGTTTTCTCCAAGTGGAAGAAGAAAGAAAACCGTTTTCTTGGCTCCACGATACATTGTTTTCTCGTAGCTTGTTGCTAAATATTCGCCTTCTTCCATTTCGAAGGCCTTTTTCCATTTCTTTTGCGATGGCAGCCCTTCCTGCCGCCAAAGGGCCTGCATGTGCCCGCCTTCTTTTTTTCTGCTTCAAAACCTCTTTCTCTTTCTTCAGCTGCTATGGGTTTGGGATTTTCACCAGGGAGATTAAGTTCCCTTCGATTTTTTTCGTCTTCGCCGTTGTAGAAAGATTTCTTTGCTCCGATTCGGTTTCGCAGTTTGGCCCTTTTTTGTCGGATCCAAAACATTGGGAGGCCATTGTGGGTGTATTCTTTTTCAAAAGAGTCGCCTTGGTCTTCCAGGATGCGGTGCAGCCCTTTTGTTTTCCCCAAAGACATCTGTGGTTCCCCTCCCTTTCCAACAACACCCTCTCGCCACTGCTTGCCGTCTTCCTGTATCCGAGAACGTCGCAGCAGCTTTCTGGGTATTGCGGGATTTTCGCGGTTTCTTTGCTGGAAAGGGTTTTTTGACGGCAGAGCGTGATTCCTCATTTTCTACGTTATAGCGCCTGTGCATTTCCACTAGTTTGCCTATTTCTTTGATCTCTTTGCAGCGCCTCTCGTCCTTTTCCCACTGTTCTTTGGCGAGCTGTTTCATTCTTTCTTCCTAGGACACTCTATGCTCGGCATCTAGAGGCGTCTCGAATCGCCACACACGAAGCCTTGCCGAGTGCGGAGAGCTCACGCTGCGTTTCTATCTCTGGCTTTACCTGCTCACAAGATGGCTTTTTTCGCCACATCCACTCGATGCGCTCTGTCGGTGGAAGGAACTCTGCAGGGTCTGGGGCAACGGTGTGTATCTGGCACGGCCTTCGGCTTGCTGCCATGATTGTGCAGGCGTCTTTTGCCCAGCACCAGAGTTTGGAGAAAACGACTTCCTCTCCCTGAATGGCCAAGATCTTTATCCTGAAGACTGGGCAACGCTAGAAGCCAAAGTCTGCGTCCATCCACTCTATTGCTCTCTTCCAAGTTGCGTCGTTGTTTACTTTATCTCTTGTTGGTTTGGCGACTATCCCTTGCACTCTGCCCGTGGTAATGTGGACTTCCCAAGCCATGCAGATCTCTCCCTGCCGTCTATCTGCGAGAAGGAAACAACGGCCGAAGACCGACGCAAGGTTCTGCCATTGCCTTTTCGGCTGCTGTACCACAAACAAACCTTCTCCCTCTTGAGACACTTCCTCCAAGGCGTTTTGTACCAATTCTTTTGCTGTTTCTGCGCAAAGCCTCCCCACTCGAGTATAACCTCTTTTTTGCACGTCTGGGTGCAAAAAAGGTGTTTGTCAGTAGAACAGACGTAGTCTGCGAGAGGGCCTCAAAATGGGTCCTGGACCTCTCCCGCTTCGAACTGGTAGACTATTTTGTTTGGCAGCTTCGTCTTTGTCGTATACCCGCTGTCGGTTGTCTGTATCCAAGTGCAAACTTGCTCGCCAACGCTCGCTGTGTTGTCCAGAATAGTGCCGCTCGCTTCTGGGAACCCAAAACCCTGGAAAGCAAAATCTGTCGAGTTATCCAAATGCTCTAGAAGCGCTTTTCGGTCGAGCGTGCTAGAAAACTCCTGGGTGACATCGATTTGGAAGATGGCGTCGCCCTTGTCCTCCAGCAATCTTTCTAGTGTAGGGAGAGCCTGTTGCAGTTTTTACATCTCCACCTCTGCGATATCGACCTTCGCAACAAAATAACCAAAAAGCTATTTTTCTAAGAAGAGGCCCTACCATTGATTTTTATCCCCGCTGTTTATTTCATTCAGTTGCACAGCAAGATCCACAAAGTTGACACTGTCGATGCCTTCTGCGCAGCAATACAAGAGGAGTACAAGGATTTTTTTTTGGTGACCTTGGTAACCGTCTTGTGGTTTACAAGATGAGGCTTAATCCTGACGTTACCTGTGTTTTTAGTCCTCCGCGTAAAGTAT